ACTACAGTGCAATCTCCGTAATTCGAGCTAATTGTTGCAAGAAGATGTTCGAATTATGGAATGTTTTCGGAAAAATCAAAAAATATTTTTAATATACAGCTGCTGGATTTTCTGTCTTATTTAAATAATTTAATTTTGCCCACAGATGACTGATGCCATGTCCGAATCTAAAAAGAAATGTAGACAGTACAGTGTTGATTATTTGAAATTTGGCTTCATTCCATCATTGCCGGACAAACAATCGCCTATGTGCCTTTTATGCAACAAAGTTTTGGGCAATGACGCTATGAAACCATCTAAACTGCAAGATCATCTGAGAAGATGCCACCCTGATAAAACAGAGAAAGATTTGAAATACTTTCAAACGCTCAAAGATAAATTTCAGAAGAGACGTACACTGGAAAGAATGTTCGCTTCGACGTCACAAAGAAATGATGATGGTTTGCGGGCGTCTTACAATATCTCGTTACTTATAGCAAAATCCGGAAAACCGCATACTATCGGAGAGAAGTTAATTTTGCCAGCCGTTGAAGAGGTCTTAAAAACTGTTTTACACAAACCTGCATCTGATATCAGTAAAAGAATTCAACAATTCTGTTGAAAGACGTATTGATGAAATGAGTTCTGATATTGAAAGCTTCTTATGTAATTATTTGCAAACGACCCATTTCTCTATACAAATGGACGAGTCAACTTTACCCGATAATGCAGGATTATTATTGGCATATATTCGTTTTATCATGAATCAAGAAATCTACGAAGACCTGCTCTTCGCAAGATCTTTGATAACCGACACTAAAGGTGAATCATGTTTTGAACGATTACTTCATTGAAAAAGCAATTAGTTTATCAAATATAATATCAGTAGCTACAGATGGAGCACCTGCCATGGTTGGACGTTATCGTGGATTTATAAGCTATTTAAAACAAAATTTGTTAGGGGTGTTAGAAATACATTGCGTCATCCATCGACAACATTTAGTTGCTAAAAATTTGAGTGTTAGATTGCATGAATCACTTCATTTAGTCATTGATGCAGTAAACCGAATCAGAAGCAACGCGTTGAATACGCGGTTATTTGCGCAGTTGTGTGAAGAAAATGACGAACACTTTCATCAATTACTCCTTCACACTGAAGTACGCTGTCGAAAGGCTTATGTTTGACAAGATTTTTTGCACTTTTTGATACTATTTTAGAATTTCTGGATACTAAAGAAAATTTAATGAAGAGGAAAGACATCGCCTATTTAACAGATTTGTTTACAAAATTTAATATGGTTAATTTGCAATTACAAGGCGACAGTTTAAATTTGATTAAAACAAAGTCCATCTTATCAGCGTTTCTTGCCAGAGTTAAACTAATGAAGCAAAATATTGGACGGGGCGAATTTTCTCAGTTCCCCAATTTGTCACAGACAAGCTGCCGGGAAGACGGCGTTTCAACTTACGTTCAACATTTAAATGCCCTCTATTCAGATTTTGAATCTAGGTTTGAGGATATTTTGACTATGGTAATACCACCGTAGATAATTAATCCATATGGTGACAAAGAAGAAACGAATGTCATAATACAAGAGGAACTGACTGAACTAAGTACAGACGAAGAACTTAAGGTTCAGTTTAAAAATGGATATCAGCAATTCTGGCTGCAAAACAACATACCCGTTACTTATCCCGTATAATGGAATATAGCGAGGAAATTTTTAATTTCCTTTCCATCGTCATACCTAGTGGAAAGAGGGTTCAGCGCTGTTACCAATCTCCTAACGAAAAAAAGAGACAGACTGGACATCATTAGCCGAGGAGATTTAAGATTAACCCTTACAAAATTGACGCCAAATGTTGATAATTTATTATTAAAGCATCAGGTTCATCCTTCTCACTAAAAATATTATGTTATTTTATTTATAGTTTATTTTATGTTTATTGGTGTCTGACCAATAAATGCCCGCATTGGGAATAAGTGCCCGCATTGATTTTTTTAAAGAACCCCCCTTTATAGAAACTATATTAATTTATTTTAAATTATTCTGAAAGTTCTAGGATAGGTACACACTAAAATTCGTTAATTGTTTGCCTATTTTTAGAAAACTTAAACGTATAAGAAGCGGAATTTAATCAAACTAACAGTCAAATTATTGTAGAACATACGTTTATGTTATAATTAATAAACAAACTCGCTTATTGTACTATTTTAAGTAAATTTTTTTTTATTATTTTTAACTTTTTTTTATTTTATCCCTCTTATTTTTTTTTCAATGCGGGCACTTATTCCCAATGCCGGCACTTATTGGTCAGACACCCGTTTATTTTATGTTACGTATATTTTAGATAACAGATACAAAATTTTATTTTGAGTAGTTTTAATTTAAATTCAATTAATAAATGTAAAAATTAACATTTTTTTTACTTTACGTTTTTAACACTAAACTTCACTACCGTTAGAAATTTACAAGAAATCAATATCAGGTAACTAGGGGGTCTACCCAACACGGAAAAACATGGCAAGGGGTCTACGACACAAAAAAGTTTGGGGAACTCTGATCTAAAGTATCTCGAAGAATAGAACATACGTCCATATGAAGTCTTGTCTTTAAAATGGACTCAAACATCGCCCTCTCAAATATTGACATTCAATCTAGAAATAGCCTGTATACAAAGCTCAAATAATTCTTGCCTGACAGTACCTAACACATTGTTGCCAGCTCTTAATTAGAAGCTGACTAACAAGATGCTGCCGATTTCACGCTTTTCTATCTATATCTAAAGTAATTTGCTACTTTGCTCCAAAAATAACAAATAAAAATCGTTTCTACAAACATATCTCCTTGGAATGTTCGATAACCAAGGTACAGGGTGGTGTGAATTTCTATGTCACTGATACGATTTTTATAAGAACAAAGCATGAGTTATGTCGAAATAACACTATGGTGAGAAAGGATTACTTTCCTTATACTAGTATAACTACTGATTGTCAGACTTCACTTACGGATTAAAATATTTTATATACGTATTTAAACTCAAATATTCAAACCAAATTTTCTTCAAAAAGGAGGAGTCTGACAAACATTTCTCAGAAGAGATAATTAACTAAAAATCAAATACTTTATTCAAAAACTCAGTACAGAATTTCCACAAAGGTGCTCTAGGGTATTTCTTAATAGGCAGTAGTTACGAGGGCGCATTTCCGAAAATTAAATAGTGATGTTTATAAGAACGTGTATCCTGTGTGGTCTCAAAGATACAGGATGTTGAAGATTTGAAAATGTTTTTTGGCAGAGCAAATGATTTGATCTTAATTTATTAATTTTTCGTCATGTAATGTTGTTTGTGTCTTTTTCCTCGAAGACGAAGTGACATACCAAAAAATACCAAGACAAAAAAATTGTAACATTAGCAGCTTAATCAGAAAAAATATTATATTTTTCGAATCACTCAGTGGTCTACATTTTTTGTCAATATTATCCGTAAGATTGCCCTCCGAGGCACCACTGGCATTCCTAATGATGTTTTAGCTAGTGCTAAGTTAACGCTTTGTTGCAGTAATCACTACTGCCCAAATTCAACATAATCGCCACAAGGATATTCGAGATATTGTAAAAAAAGTTTTTGAAACTTCGTCTTCTGAAGGGCCATGTTCACATAAACTTTTTTACGTTAAGGCACAGGAATGCCTCCTGGAAATTAAAGTCTATCATCAAGTAACACCTTGTACATATTTTTTTGGTTTGGAAAAAAAAATTAACCCTAAGGATTTTGTCTTGTTCTTGGTGTGTACCTTATGTCCCAGAACAAATGCTTCTGCTTCCTGAATCACCATGTATATCTGGAGCTGTGCTTATGAATATGTTTTCTTTTCTAGAAAGTTCAGGCAGGGGTCAGTTTTAAAAGCTATGATTAACTGGTAGAATGATACAAACTGAGGGACCGGCACGGGTATAACGTATCTTGAAAAGTGACATTATGCCGATTTTTTTTTGACATTGTATTGGTTTTTTGTGACACTATGTAGGTTTTCCTACAAGATGTTAACTTGGCACTAGCTGATGGATACTTTGTAAAGTAGTTTTGTAGTTGTACGTGTTGTTTGAACGTCATGAGGCTTCAGTTATTAATATTTGGTTTTGATGTGATCTAAAATCTGCTTCAGACGTGGCATTACTGGAGGTCTAAGCTGAGGCATAGTGAGGATTTGTGTGCTAATAATGTGTGTTGATAATTCCATTAGATTCTTGTCTCCAATACACTTTCACACAATTTCAAAAATGAGAGAGATAAGAAATAATTATATTCACTGTACACTGTCGAATTACAAGTCATATACATGCTAACAGTAATTACTCATAACGCGGGCGCGATGGTGATTTTTCGTAATTCTTCTCAAAGTTCTTGAAAACAAAAAAAAAACGGGAAAAAGGTGTTATATAACCTTGAACATAACCTCTCTTCAGAAAGAACAACACAAATAACCTATCAGGCACAGCTAATAGGCAGCATAATTAGTAATAATTTTCTCACATAGCAAATATCACAGATTTTATACACATGCAGACCAATACAATCATCCAGATGCAGTCTTGCTACTCAACCAAAGTTTCGTTCTTTCGCATCTCAAACACTACAATTTGTAATCTACAAACAAAGTGGCTATCTGCAACCAACAATGCACACTTGTAAAGAGCCGAGCATGGCTTATAGGTTTTTTTTCACGTTTTATAGGTTTTTTACATAATACCCGTGCGTGACTCTATTGCCACTCGAGTAACTATATTTTTTAACGTTGACAGAAATGTTGCTACTCGTGTCATTCTCAGGAGAAAAAGTGCTTTTTGGTAAACCGTTTAGTGGTATAATCATACATTAATTTGCCAAGAATGGATACATTCACAAACCTGTCTGACACACGTTAGAGCAGGCGTGGCAAGTCCAAGCCCTAACTGCACCTAGTTGGAACTCGTTTCCGAAACACCCGGTACATCAATTTTTCATCACTAGGCGTGTTTTTCATTTTTGACATTTGCGGAATGATGTGCTAGACAATCCAAATTTTCAGTTTTCATCTAGTTTCAAATTATTATGAGTCTACCAGATACCGACAAAAGCGATACGGATATTAGTTCGAATCCATCGTGGAGTGTCATTGGAGAAACCGACGATTCTCGCCAGGATTCCTTGCAAAACATCGTGATACAACCCGACATTGACAACACCCATGGATTAGATGAAGAAAACAGAGCTAGTGATATCGACAGCTCGTTTATAACAATACCAGAAGATGCGGCATGGACGATAGATCCAAACGACCATGTTCCACCAGCGAGAAAATTGAAGAAAAATAAGTCCAAGACGATCTACTCTGAGCCTTTAAGCATAGTGACAATCATAGCTTCAATACTGACTATAACAGGTATCACCATCCTTTGTATGCTATTTCCTCAAGATATCGACACTCAATCTCACGAACAAGTACACAAAGCGTATGTTGAGGTAGTCAGTAGGACAGATAAGACTATACCTGAGGTTATCAATAAGACTTCTGAAGTGCTGAAAGTCGTAGCTGAAACTAATTTATTGGACAAGATACATGATAGATTAGAATGTGATGATGGCGGAGAGTGCAGCAAGGAAGATGATACTTGTCCAGCAGATGGTGAAGCGACGGATTCAGACACAGACCATGATGGCTTTGACCATTTTCCAGGTATGAGATTTTCTGTGAGACTACCTTCAGAAAAATCAGGTACTGATAAAGATAACGATGAACAGCTTAGTACTTTGACTGCGTTGCGAAATACAACAATTTCGTTTCTGAGCAAGTTGAGAGAAACTTTCATATCCGATCCTCACCTTCATATACTTTTATGTACTGTAATGCAGGATGTATGCCTGATAAATTTGGTAAAACAGCTGAATAGCAGACAATCAGCAGTACTCAAGACAGTAAAAAGTAATACGCCTTCAACTTCAGGTAAAAGGGAGAAGAAAGGCTCTTGGAAGAAAACAAGATCTAAATTGACTCCGAAGAAATCTAAAAAGCAGGACGGTGTTTCCAACAACACCAAAGAAAGCACGAAAACTGAGATGACTTCACATCCCCAAAAAGTGCATGAGGTAAATAATGTAACCAAACTCGTTGAGCAGACCTCAAGCGTCAATGCGCGATCTCAGTCTAACGCAGTTAATAACAAGACAAGTTCACTTAAAACTTACAAAAAGGTAATGGATAGGCAAACGAAAGATCTTGTTAAAGAAACAAATGAATTACTTGTTTCTACGATGAACGAAACGTCTAATCGACCTCAATCCGCGCCTTTCTCAAATAAAAAAGTTACAAAAAAGGTGGATCCAACCAAAGAGCCTGCTCTTGATCTAATCAGGCTAATGACAAACGGAACTGGACGCCACCAAGAAATTGAGGAACTAAGAAAAAGACGGGAGTGCGCTGGAAACGACTACAGGCGGAGAATAGATCTCATAAAGCAGGAATTCAGAGATGAGGTAATGCCAACTAGATATATTGATTTTTCGCAAAGATCCCAAAAGATACGAATGATCAGGCAAAAATATGTAGCATTTCTGAAGATGCATAGAGAGAGATATCTTGCTCAGTTGAGGAGGTACAGAGAAGATAAACAGAAACTAGTCGATGAGATTTGTCTTAGAGTTCAAGAAAGCACCAACCAGAAGGATGCCTCAGTTGGCAACTATGCAGTCTTGCTTGATGGGTATGATTTCCGTCAGACTTTGAAGAACCTAGCTTGCAATGAAGCCTCGTCCGGAATCAGCCACATGGAGAACTTGATGTCAATTAGGGATACTGCAGAGGATTCGGTGAAATATCAGTCAGCAGACCATAAACTTTCAGAGATAGGATCAGCATCTAGAAGTCAAAACTTAAATGTTATGGCTAACTACTCAACCAAGCATCACAGCGGGTCAAAGACCAGCTTAAAGAAGAAACCAAGCGACAAAAATAACGAAAAACTGGCTCATATTGTTGAGTGTCCTTTGGTAGAAGAAGTTGTTGGAAATATGATGTCTAACCTGTCGCAGCTCAGTACTAGCTTTTCTAACTTAAACGACAGAATTAGCAAGTCTAATGCGATGCTAGATTCAGGGTTTGCTGAGCAGACTGGATCTAATTCAAAGATAGAGGAAAATAGTAATGATAGTAGTTCTGGACAACAAAAAAAGGAGTCAATCATACAAATTAGGAACGAACACTTGAAAAAAGGTGACACTTGGTTGGAGTCGGAAGAGCCTCACTCAATTGACAAGTCGAGCTTAGGAAAGAAGACCGAAGAACTGGATACGAAGAAGAGCCTTGCCAATCAAAGGATAACGATCAAAACACCTACCGAAATGCTTAAAGAAGACCTAATAAACAACAATAATATTGATGCAAAGAAAGACACGGATGATGCAGAGCTAGAAGAAGGCAAGAAGGACGGTGACAATTTAAAGGCCCAGAGGTGGAGGTACAAAACACCTTCTGAATTTTCGGAAGAACACATTAAAGATGGTCATTTGGATAACTGGGATGCCAGAAACAGACTTGTAGTACCTACAAAATGGAGGGAGAGGATGAGCATTATACAAATGAGCAATGAAGACCACAAAAAAGGTGATACCTTGTTAGAATCAGAAGTGTCGAATAAGAAAGAAACGTCAGAAGAAGATACGGCAGAGGAGGATCTTCCTCAAGGTCAATTCAAGGTTGTGACTAAAAGGGAAGGAAGGAAGAGGGATATCTATGAAGCAGCATTTGATGAAAATGGGCAGAAAATAAAAGAAAAAGAAATTACGAGATGGGGATTGCAGAAAAGGATGAGGTCACCACAGTCCTTTGTTTTTAGCAAGCAGGATCCGAAGACGGTGGTTAAAGAAAAGTTTTCATTTAAGGGACAGTTGTAGATCATAGAATGTAGATAGCGGGTCAATAAATGGTTGATGAATAGTATGTGTACTATCGAAGTTTATATACAGGGAAAAATAGAGTGAAATATTTAAAAAGTGATTCTTGGATCGATTTAAACAATAATATAGAATAACGACTCTAATTTTCAAACAAAGGGTGATGAAGTATAAATTTTTTTCATAACATCTCCTATTATACCACTCGAGTGGCCATCGTGCGAGGTTTGAGATAAATACTTTTAAAGAAGGATATGAGTTCCAACTCATCTCTCTCGCAATAAAAAACCATATTATTCCCTTGTCACTGACTTATATTCTTTACGAAAACAACAAGCAACATGATGATATTTTTTATTTGTTGCTCTATATTTTCACATTAAAGCCATATGACAATGCACAGAAATGCTTGTTCTTTAGGCAAATGTCGCAATTCTATGGAAAGAAGATATGATAATATATTTACTGGAAAAAGAAAGGAAATTGATGACAAGAAGGCATCTACAGGGTTATCCAAATTAAGTGTCCACCATTAGTAACTTTGTTATTAGTGAAAATACAAAGTTGTTTGAATTAGCAAACTAGTAGCATTTTTAACGCTGGTAAAAATGAGAAATAAAAAAAAACAATTGAGAGTCGTTATTTTGATTTTTTTCAGTAAAATAACATTTTTTTAAATGGAAACCCCTGTATATTATATTTTTTTCTGTTAAAGCATCAAATTTTAAACAAAAAAGTTCATAATGACTTTTCCGCTAAAGTCAAAATTAAAGTCAAAATAACGATAAATATTTTTAATTATTTGCACTATTATAATATTAAGACGGCTATGAAAACAACATGGCGTTCGCGATTTGACAGCGTTAAGATAAGCGACAAATTGTTAAACTGGACATACTCGCAACTAGAAGGCTTTAGAAAACAATGATAAGATCAAATAATGTCAAACATTAGTGTAAATACTTGTTTATAAGCTTTATTGTGTCATTAATTTAAAGAAAAATGTTCTCCCATGAAGAAAAGTGTGATATGTTAGAATGCTATTTAGTGTGCAGAAAATCCTCCTTGAGAGCAAGAGAATATTACAGTGAATTATATCCCGCTCGCATTCAACCGTATGAACGATATTTTCTGAGACTTTATCGAAAATTTAGGGGCAACGAAAATGTTTTTGCTAAAACAAGGGCAAAAAAAGAATTCATAATAAGCGAGGCCACGGAAATTGCAGTTATTGGATATTTTGAAGCTTATCGTGAGAATTCAATAGCAGATATTCTCAAGGACTCTAATTTCAGTTATGGTACTGTTCAAAGGATTTTAAAAAAATACAAATTTATTCCGTATAAGTACCGACCAGTTCAAACGCTTTTGGCAGGGGATCCAGAGAGAAGACTTGTTTTTTGCCATTGGTATCTTAGCTTCTGTCGCCAAAATGTAAATAACTTTCGTTACCTTTTATGGACAGATGAATCAAATTTTTCAAATTCTGGAATGTTTAATAGAAAAAACCACCATTATTGGTCAAGAGAAAATCTTTTGTTAGTACATCCAAGAGGCCCACAAGTCCGTTTCAGTTTCAATGTTTGGTGCGGTATAATTGGTTCAAAAATTGTTGGCCCGTTCTTTTATGAGGGAACCCTAACTGGTGAAAGATATGTGGAATTTATGTCAGAAATTCTGACTAATTTCTTAGACGAATTGGATCTTATAAGTAGACATCATCTGCATTTTCAGCAAGATGGCGCACCTGCCCACAACTCCAGAGGTACTTATCATTTTCTAAGTACTACTTTTAATGATCAGTGGATAGGAACAAATGGCCCAATACAGTGGCCTCCCAGATCACCAGATCTAAACCCACTTGATTACTTCTTGTGGGGTTACTTAAAGAACCAAATTTACAAGCGAAGGTACGATAACCTTGACGCGTTAAAGACTGCAGTTAGGGAAAAGATAACCCAGATAGATGGTAGGACCATACTTAAGACAGTTCGAGCAGTTGAAAAACGTGCCCAAAAATGTATTGAAGAACAAGGTGGTGTTTTCGAGCATCTTCTTTAAAAAAAATTGTTATTGTATTTTGTAAGATTATAAGTTGATGTTGAAAATAAAGTTTGTCGATACAATTTAATTGTTTCAGATTGGAGGCCATAACTTCAACAATTTGTAACCTAGGAGAAAAGTTATAGTAAGCTTTTTTGTTTAAAATTTGATGCTTTAACAGAAAAAAATATAATACACAGGGGTTTCCATTTAAAAAAATGTTATTTTACTGAAAAAAATCAAAATAACGACTCTCAATTGTTTTTTTTATTTCTCATTTTTACCAGCGTTAAAAATGCTACTAGTTTGCTAATTCAAACAACTTTGTATTTTCACTAATAACAAAGTTACTAATGGTGGACGCTTAATTTGGATAACCCTGTATATTGTCCTTCAAAGCTACCCTACTCAAATGAAAAGCATGCACCTATGAAAATCGAAGACATTCATGACTTAATATTCACAAGTTTTTTTTTATGAACTCAAGAATCACCCCTAAATTTCATCTGGATTTTGAAACAGCTTATGGGTTGTAAATGCTCTCTTTATTGGAACTCTCACATGGTTTGCATCGTATAGGCAATTCAAATAATGTTTCGCCATACTTTTTGATATTTGTGCGTTTTCTGTAGTACTTTATATCTAAAAATTATTCAATTGACACTGGTACCTTCAAAGATTTGTTTGTTATATAAATTTTGTATTTTATGGCAGACGGAGTAACAGGGTTAGATGAGAATAATGTTTTGGCACAATCACTGCTACGGCTTACTTTGTCTGGTGAGTTGTTGTCCCTTGGCGACGAAGGTGAGGCACATCTGCCATTGTTGGGTACTCCTAGTTCGTATATGTTCAGCATATGGGCAGCTTGTGCGTGAACCATCAGATCCCACGCATTCTGAAACCCATCCTTACATTGGACGCATAGCAGGGAGGCTGTAGTTTGATCGTCCAGCTGGGATTCTGGAATGAAAAGAATATAGGGTAATCGCTTGTCGCTTGATGAAAAAATGTTGGAAAAACGGCTATGAAAGTCGTTATTGAAATAACATTGTTTCTCAAAATGTTATAAAAGCTGTATAGGCAGGGTCTGGGTAATGTTTCCAAGACATATACTAGTCGATCCAAGTTTTGGACTACCTAAGGTTAGCAGGATTATAAGTAGATCATCATTTGCATGGATTACACGGAGGAAAGTATTTCGTGACTGTAAACAGATGGTGCAAACAGCGGGATGTGCTGTTCCCAAATTCGTTTTCAGCAATCTCTGCAAAATTCATACCATGTACTGTCAGTGGCTTGCACTAGCTGTACAGGTATGTGTGCTTTGCTGATCGTTTTTATACAGTAGTATTTTCCAGACATCGGAAGTAATGATCATGCAAAAAATAATATCATCTTTCTCTATACTCATATATTCTCCACCACATCTTGTTCCATATACTATAAGCTACAAAGTAAGCTAGTGAATTGCGGGTTGCAGTGGTTGAGGCAAATATCGGCAAAATGGCCGTTACGTCATACCTCCGTAGATGGCATTCACGGCTCTTGAAGGAGCATATCTCCTCGTGCAGTGGCAGCTGTCTCATTGTGACTTTGGAGCACTGGACTGCTGTTGCACACGTCTGAAATTAAGCTCATCCACTAGAGAACTTTGCAAAAATGCTGAAGCAGAATGCCAGGAAGAATTAACTAAAACAGCAACTACACCCCCATGGCACACTCTTCTGTTAATACTTTGCCACGCCGCGTATAAATTCAGAGTCGGTGCGCTTAAAGACAGCCACCTGTGCCGCCCGTAAATTTTCCCGGACCTAATCCCACCATCCTTCTTTATTAGCGGACACAACGTCCGGGACCGCTACCTCGGAAACTCTACTCCCTACTGCCCTTCGAATCTTTCCTTGCTTATGAAAGGTGAACTGGACCGACCTATTATCTCTTTTATGAGCTCTGGAAGCTTGTCTTAGCAATGGTCCCCACGTAAGCTACAAGTGGCTATATTTGGAGAGGATGCTTTTCAAGATTTTTGGCGGGACACAGTAGAATGTTTGTATAAACACTCGGACAAACGTGTTTTAGTTTTTTCTCACCACCTTAAAAGTGTTCTCAGATCAGTGGTTACCATTGTCAGTGTGCGAGTTTGAATCCAACCCTAGAAGAATTTTTTGCTTTGGCTATGGACGTAGTTATCGTGCTTGGGTGGTAGAGGGTCTCGGACTATCGGCGTGTACAGCCCGCCGGATCTGTAAGGCGTGGCTAGAATGTGTGCATGTCGCATACACACATGTTCCCTCGCTAGAGTCTCTATGGTGTCCTCCCTTCCTCCTGTATCCACCTATAGCCCCAAGGTTAGGCTCTAAGTCTCCGTGGTGGTTTAAGTATAAGTATAAAACAGCAATGCCTGAAGATTACAGATACAATGTCAACAGTATGTGTTAAATTTATTGGAACATTTTGGTAGAGAGAAGAAAAGCAAGGGTCTGCAGAGTGCACTTTCCCTTAGGGAAGTTAGGCTTTGCACATGGTACAGTTAGTCAATCTGTATGCTTGTTTCATATGAGTCCATACGTAACCTCCAAAAGTCGTGAAAAGATCTACATGTTTGTGAATATGTGCAGTGTATTTTCCCACGTTTTCCTGTTTTTTCGTCTAGTAGCCGGTAACTTGTCGGTGACTGTAGTCCAAGGTCCGGCCATAGGAATCCCGTTTATTCTGCTACGCTAAAGTGCACTGGACTAACTTATTTTATGGATTGAGTCTCGACAATTGCAACAATTAGTGGGATTGAGTTTTAAAGAAACATTAACGCTTTCATGAGGATCGTTCGAGGAGGGGCACCATTACAGGCTGACATCGATGTTAGAAGCATGTTTTAGAATTTTGACGACTAGTTTTGAATTGTTTGTTTTCCTTTGTGCTAAATTTTAGTAGGTAGTACAAGACCAAATCAGACCTCCCTTTGATGTACCAATCAAGGAGCGAACGCAATCGAACGCCAACGCCGAGCTTGGAAGCCGTTGACTTATGTTGACGCGCGTCGCACACAACGATTGGAACACCTCCAAATCTGTAACCAGATGTGCCTTGGCTTGCGCTGGAATCGTGGTCTGTACGCGGCTTAAGACCCGAGTGCTTCAGTGCGTCAAATAGGAGCAAGCGGTAGTGCCCAAAAGTACAGCCCACCGAATCCGTACCACGTACAGCTAGTACAATCTCTACAACCCAGGGATTATTTTCCAAGAGTTGAGTTTTGTCAACTAATGCTACAGAGACCCATGTACGGGAGCTCACGATGCTAAATCGGGATTTACTCGAGCGTCATAGAGACCTATTGGGTTGCGAAGCTTAGATGATAAAACGAAAAAAATGTACTATAATATATACCTTTTCATCGGTGGGAGAAGCGGCTATAGATTTTCAAAAATGTAAAAAAAAACTGTTGCATGGACACACCCGAGCGCGTCAGATATTGATATCATCCATGTCCTATGTATTTTGAAAAATGTTTGTATGTTAATCTGATTGTTTTCATGATGGGAGTGGTCGCGGTCATTATTAGAATGTGCAAAAAAATTCGTCATTTTGAAATACTCAAGCGCGTCAGATTAAGATATATATGGCTCATCTTTATGCCCTAGACGTGCTTTCTCATAATCTGACGATTACCAGAAGGGATTCACTTAATCTGACAATTAAAAAAAAAATTATTTTATTTTTTTTAATCATTGAGCTTAATTAATTGAAAATCTCAGGAAATAGCATGCACATAAAGAAACAGTGCATGTTTTTTTAAGTAGAGTACTTGTATTTATAAAAATATAATTATTTATAATTATTTCAGTATCTTCATCGGTAGAATCATCTTCCTCTTCTGGCTCGATTTCAACCTCAGATTGCGAATCTATAACAAAAATTCATTAAAATATTTAGTAATATGTTTTCTTATGAATAACGTGTTTTTTAATTATATTTACGAGATGAAATCTTATTAGCACGTACTGGTCTGTCGATGTACCAACAGCCTCAGTAGACGCGGAATCAACAGTAGCATATGATTTGGAGCACTCTCCAGAAACAGAAGGATGTGATTCGGAGATATTCCCAGAAACTTCTGATGCATTTTCATGATCCTTTACACTTTGCTGTGGTTGCAAATACTGAAAGTCTCGCGGTATTTTTATTCCTGTAAATAATTTATAGCACTGTGCACACTTCATATTAATATCACTCACATTTATAAACTTCAATTCACATAACTAATAATAAAATCACAAAATAAGCAAAAACGTTGGAAATACGTGGTAAGCAATATCATGCCACAAATGGGCTGTGTGATCAGCTGTCATGGCGTCATGGCAACAGCAATCAGAGTGGGGACAGAGTGAGAGAGTAATAGATCGAGAAAGAGTGAGAGAGAAATAGAAACGCGGAGAGGTGAATATAGGAAACCTGTAGCTGCACGCATTAAACTTTAACGATTAATTTTTATTACTTCGGCTTGTGAAAATCGTCAGATTATATATTTTTCGTAACCCTTGATTTATTCCCTTCAAAATAAAAAAAAAAATGGCCACGCTCGAGAATATCGAGATGAGGTTTTTTTTACAACTTTGTAGCACTCCCCCTTCTCTGCGTCTCTGTCAAATTGTCAGATTATTCGAATATACATGTTTTAGCATGTAACTAACTCACCTTACTTTAATCTGACACGCTCGAGAATTTCAGATGATCAATTTTTTTTCACTAATCTGATCCTTTATCCTTGACGGGCGACCATATATAGTATAAGGAGCTCATATTTGGTGGACGTCTTTAAATGGGTACAAGGTATACCCGTGTATATTCATCTGCCGCGCTTTAGTAAATTTCGAAATCCCTGCTTGGGCTCCCCTACTAGCGGGGAAGATCCGCGACTTTTAGAGAAATTTTTATGGACCGATCAGTCGACATTTAAAAAAGATGGTTACAGGAACTACAGAACTTACACGAGTGCCATGTTGGAAATAACCATTTCATGAGAGAAGATAGATCACAGTACCGTTTTGAAGTGAACATGTCGACCGGAATTCTAAATGGGAGAATCATGGTACCCGTTGGCACAATTTATTTACACTTTTTATAGAATCGTTTACCAAATTTGTTGGAGGACGTACTATTAAGCATTTACAGGGGTATGTGGTACCAGCAAGACGGCAGCCCGTTCACCTGACTCAAATCCACTGACTTTTTAATGGAGAGCGGGGAAAGGAAAAGTTTACTCAAAGCCAATCGAAAATTTAGCTGAGCTACAGGACAGAATAACTGAAGCAGCTGAATTTGTCAATAACCGAATATTCGGGCGTGTGATAACCTGGCCATATTTAAGAAGATGTCAAACTTCCAATGCTGCTGAAGGGACGCAGTTTGAACATTTATTGTAAATTTAATAAATATATTTAATAATTAGTAAAATTGGCGTTACTATCCGTCTTACTGTCACTACGTAGAATGATTGCCCATCAGTCTAACGGAAAATTGTAGTAATGGGAACTAAAAAATAACAACAGAGTGTATATTTTTCCGATTTTTCTAATTGCTTCCTGTGATTTTAAAAGTACAGGACTTATATTTTTCTGATTACTATTATGACTTGACCATTTCCAGCGTGACGTCGACTTCTAGGACAACCTGTATAAAAGATAGACAAATAACGATAGTCTGTATGAGATCATGTAAAGCTGTTTCTGGTAGCACTATTTCTTAGCGTATAATAACGGGAGTTTTTTGTTGTCTCCTCTAGAGGATTTTCCTAGAATAACCGTACTTATTATGAAAAACCGTCAATTAACTTACAGATTGTGAGTAAAATAATTTTCAAGCTGTATAAATACACTGGTTGTCTAGACTCATAAACTCTGCTCTGTGGGCTTATTACTCGCTGTAAAGCCGAAAAGGCATATAATTTTTATTACTATTTTGCA